TGTTTAAGTCTGTAGGGTCACCCCCTTTATTATTGGTAACCCTTGCCCCCTTGAGTATTTCGGGAGGGGGCTAGTCTCTAGGAATTTTTAAAAAATAAAAAATAGCATCAAAGGACAGGGCCCCTCGCTTGTACAGTAAGGGGACTGAGACAGATTCCCGAGTTATTTTTAATGACTTTAAAATCCAGGACTTCCTTTGGTCTTGGTGAAAGATAAAGGAATTTGGGGAAAATTCCCATTGGGGTAGTCCCCGGCATGGGCATTGGTATGGGGGTTTTTACTGGGAGAAAAATGCTAGGGTTGAGAAGAAGTCGTTTATCTTTTTAGCTGTTCGGGGATTAGTGGTTTTCATTGGGTTATTTAGGAAAATATTCTTTTTTTTTTTCTCAGTTTGTGGGTCCTAAATCTGGGGGTTTTTTTCCGGGTTTTTTTTATATTCCTCTGTGTCGGGAAAATCTACTGGGTAGTATATTTTTTTGGTTTTCTTTTTTATTTTGGGTGAGAGCTATGAAAGTGTTTAAGAATATCTTTGGTATTAAGCCCTGCAAATTTTGTTTTTCATTTTGGTGTTTCTTTAAATGATTTCAAAGGGTGCGGGTTAGCCAGGGGCAACAAGCGTTTGTTTGTGATCTGTTTTGTTTTTATGGGACAATTTTTTGTTGTAATTAAGAAATTTGTTAAAAAAAAATCCCTTCAGTCCAAAAATACCTTTGGGCCCTTTGGAGAATTCTGTAGGCCAATCAATAGCTTGGGTAGCTGTGAATTTCCCTTACTGGGCCTGTCATGGAGTCTAAATGAACTTTGTTGTTTTAAAAGTGGGGGTTTATAATTTTGTCAGGGGGAAGAGGGTATGTCTGTAGTGCTATCTTGATTACCCCGATTTAAGGGGGCAGAAAAATTGGTCCATAGTGGCTATTATGGTTGCACTTGTCTCAGTGAGCCTGTTGGGTTTTAGTTTTTGTTTAAGAATTGTTGTTATATTGTTGATGAAATCTTTTACAGGCTGTATCTAGTAACCCAAAGGGTTGATGTTGAAGTTCCAGCTAAGAAAAGGTTGGGTTTTTCATTTGTCTTTTTTTAAATTAGGACTTTAATTTTCTCACTGAAAATTGGGATGTTGTGTGAGGACCGGTAAATGGCACCCATTGTTTTGGGGTCTTAAGGTTTTTTACAGTAAAATTTTGCAAAATGTATTACCCCCTAATTTATCACTAAACAAGTGGTGCAAGACAAGTAATTGGTTAGAGTAAAAGATTGCAAAAACCCCCCCAACTTGGGTTTTCCTGCAGTTTTGAATTGCTGTGTATCCTGGTAGAGGGAATACTATTGTGTCCCCTTAACCAGCTGTAAGAATAAGCGGAAAAGGGGGGGCTTTATGATTCAAGGGGCTAGGAGGTTTAAAAAGGTTTGCTTAAGGAAGATTTTTGAGTAAGTATATAGACTTTTTCATTTTTTAGGTAGTGGGGTTGTGATGCTTTTGTAAAAAGGCCGTTCTTTCCAATGGTTTTTTTTTGGGGGTCAGATTAGGGGTTAGATAGGGTCAACGTGATCAAAACATCTTTAGGTTTTAAATTATGGTTATTTATATCCTGAGTTGGGGTTTATTTTGTATGATATTGAGGGAGGGAGTTTTTGGGCAAATATATAGCAGAGTTTTTTTGGGCTGTAGGATAGTCCCAAAACCATAATGAATTTTATGTTTTCTATGTGTTTTCTGGAAGAACAAAGTACAACAGGGAAAAACTATTTAAAATAAAAAAACAAATTTAAAAAAAGAACAAGACTCTCACTTTTAATTTTCACTAAGGCTAATAATGATTTTGTGGAGTTTTTGTTTTTTAGAGAAAAAAGCATAACAAAAGGTTTAATTAATAATAAAAAATACAAATTAAAAATAGCATAGTCTCTCACTGAATTGCACTAGGGCTAATATGTGAATTTTGGTATTTATAGTATGAGTTAAATGACTATGGGACAACTGAATTTAATTTTTAAAAATAAAATACAAATTAAAAATAGCACCAGTTCTCACTATAATTCCCCTATGGTCTTATATGAATTTGTTACTAGTATTGATAGAAAAGACTAGAGTAAATCTTGATTAATCTAATAATATAAAAAAGGAAAAAGACTCTCATTGTAAATTTCACTAAGGGCTTAATAAGTTGTTTACAAAATTAAGTATAATTAGATTTAAAAGACAGGGTAAAAAATAAAAAATAAAAGGGAGCAAAAAAATAATAAAAAAAAAAATTTTAAAAATAAAATGGCAATGATTGGTTTTTAAATGCTAGAAAAATGGGAGAAAAGGGTAATATAAAAATTTAGTTGAAAATACTAGTTTAAAAAAAATAAGGGGAAAAAAGGTCAAAAAAAGAAGTTTACAAAAAAGTTTGATCAATAAGTTTAAAGTAAAATTGGGCAATAATAGGGATTAGAAAAAATTTGGCAATTTAGATTTTTTAAAGTGAGGTAGAATTTTGAAAAAAATTATGGTTTTTTTATAAAAAAAAAAAAAGGGACAGTATGTAGTAAATTTTAAAAAAGGAGATAGATTTGAGATATTAAAACAATTAAGACTTTAGGTAGAATGGGCGTTGAATACAAAATGACCAAAAAGTGTTGGGGTATTAGAATTTTTGGGGGGCACAAAATTTTTACAATATAACACTAACGGTGGCTATGGGTATTATCCCCTTTACCCGATTCGTTATCCAGCCCCACTTGGAATGTTTTAAGGTCATGTTCAAGATGAAGTACTCTTCCCCGGGGCTGTTTCCTAAATGCCCTTTTCCATCCCTCACAAAAACACGGGGGGATTTTTTGGGCAGAAAGTATGAGTTTCCAGACTGTTTAACACATCTTCCTTGCATTTGTTTATTTATCCACTCCCGATTTCTCCACACACTCATTCCCACTACTATCATCCACTGACTCCACTTACTCTCTCCATTCTCTTCCTTCACCCACTGCTTCCATCCATTTACTCCATTACAATCCTCAGTTCACAGCTATTCCCTCCACTTCTTTACTCCAGGTGTACCCTCCACCCATTGTTTTCGCTAATTCCCTCCAACCACTGCTTCCACTTAATCCCTCCATTTACTGCTTTCGCTTATTCCCTCCACCTGCTCATCAGCTAATTCTTCAAGCAGCTCACTCCTACATAATATTCTCCCCTCTAACAAATACTTTATATTTCGTGCACTTATAAACGTAGGGAATTATTTGTTGGCAAAAATAGTGTTGGGTGGAGCGCGGGATGAAATATTAACACAGAGAGCCGCTTTGTGATGAATGCTGCTCCTCTTTATCATATTTTACTTTCCAATATAACTTTCTCTACTTTTATACTTTTTTTTGCAACGGCTTTTGTTGCTTCCTGTTTGTTTACCTACTGGTTCTTTAATAACAATGTTTTCTTGTAAGTGTTTTGCTGCCATTGTTCTTAGTTTACTGAGTTTTTTTGAAGGTGAGTTTTTCGTGCTAAAGTTATTTTAATGGGATTTCTTCAGGCGCCTTTGGTGCCGTTGCTCTGACTCTTGTGAGAACTATTCTGCGACGCTCCTGACACTCCCCCCTCCCCTAACGCCAACCCTGACATTTGTCAGCTACTATCTCCTTGTCAGATTCATCTCCACCACCGTTGTTATCCCGTTCTCCCCCTTTTCTTCTTCCTCTGATCCCTCCTCATCCCATCTCCCCACTCCACAAATTTGGTAGTAAGCAATGAAATAAACTGCAGAACAATAACCCCGACATTCCACATTATCAAGCTCTATGAAAGGGCTTTAAGAGGCAAGAATACCAATCACATGGAATCGCAGCAATTGCACAACCTAAGTCAACACGGGTTCAGAACTGGTTGCTCCTGCCTTTCGCAATTACTGGACCATTGTGACATGATATGGATGATCTTGAAAACAGCCAAAATGCCGTGACTTTAACAAAGCCTTTGATATGGGCTAACATCAGGTAATTACATAACAATATGCATGGAAAAAGGAATAACTGGGAAGGAGGGCAGATGGATTTTTAACTTCATCACAAACTGAACCCAAAGAGTAATAGTAAACGGAATTAAATCAGGAGCCGCTACTGTGAAAAGTTTCGTTCCTAAGGCACGGTACTCACCCAACTTCTCTTCCTCATTCTCACTTCTGACATAGACAGGAACATCAATCACAGCACCGTATCATTCTTTGCAGACAATACGAGAATCTGTATGAAAGTGGCATTCACTGAAAAAACAACGAACCTCCAAGCTGATATAACCCACTGACAACAATATGATCAGTGAGGACAAATTTCTTTTATTACGCCACGAAAGAATGGCAGAATTAAAAACAAGATCAGAGCAAAAGACGAACTTAAATCATTCAATAGAATGTAAGTCCTACCATAGACGTGCTCATGGATTTGTATGTAATATTTTCCACTCCCTTGTCCGGAAACTTCTGGGGACATATTGTTGGTGATTAACCTGACGGGACCACAACACCCACTGTTGGTGATCCACCTGACGGGACCACAACACCTACTGTTGGTGATTCACCTGACGGGACCTCAACACCCACTGTTGGTGATTCACCTGACGGGACCACAACACCCACTGTTGGTGATCCACATGACGGGACCACAACACCTACCGTTGGTGATTCACCTGACAACACAGTACACACCATTGGTGATTCACCTGACAGCAACACAGTACATACCATTTATTGGTGATTCACCTAACAACACAGTACATACCACTGGTGATTCACCTAACAACACAGTACATACCATTGGTGATTCACCTAACAACACAGTACATACCATTGGTGATTCACCTAACAGCAACACAGTACATACCATTCATTGGTGATTCATCTAACAACACAGTACATACCATTGGTGATTCATCTGACAGCAACACAGTACATACCATTCATTGGTGATTCATCTAACAACACAGTACATACCATTGGTGATTCATCTAACAACACAGTACCTACCATTGGTGATCTGCTCGCCCAGGGGAATGAGCAGTGGCATTAAGACATTCACAGCCATGACAGCGATCACACGACGGCTCCAAGCCGCCCACCAACTGCAAGCCGCCTGCCGACGCCCGCAGCAAGCCGCCTGCCGCCGCCCGCAGCAAGCCGCCCACCGCCGCCCGGTCGTGCTGACGCCTGGCGATAGCTGGTGCACCATTCACAACCCGTCAATCCCTCGCATCAAACCTGAAAATGACAAGACAGAAAACTGAAAAAATAAGAAAGATTCTCTTGACATCAACTTTTAGTGAAGCAAACATCCGTCAAACATCCAGGGAAATAAGTATCCAGGGAAGTAAACATCCTGAGAAGTAAACATCCAGGGAGGTAAACATCCAGGGAAGTAAGTATCCAGGGAAGTAAACATCCAGGGAAGTATCAAGGGAAGTAAACATCAAGGGAAGTAAACATCCTGAGAAGTAAACATCCAGGGAGGTAAACATCCAGGGAAGTAAGTATCCAGGGAAGTAAACATCCAGGGAAGTATCAAGGGAAGTAAACATCAAGGGAAGTAAACATCCTGAGAAGTAAACATCCAGGGAGGTAAACATCCAGGGAAGTAAACATCCAGGGAAGTATCAAGGGAAGTAAACATCAAGGGAAGTAAGCATCCAGGGAAGCATCAAGGGAAGTAAACATCAGGGAAGAAACATCAGGGAAGTGAGCATCAAGGGAAGTAAACATTCAGGGAAATAAGCATCAAGGGAAATAAACATCAAGGGAAGTAAACATCCAGGGAAGTAAACATCCAGAGAAGTAAACATCCAGGGAAGTAAGCATCCAGGGAGGTAAGCATCTAGAGAAGTAAACATCCAGGGAAGTAAGCATCTAGAGAAGTAAACATCCAGGGAAGTAAGCATCTAGAGAAGTAAACATCCAGGGAGGTAAGCATCTAGAGAAGTAAACATCCAGGGAAGTAAGCATCTAGAGAAGTAAACATCCAGGGAAGTAAGCATCTAGAGAAGTAAACATCCAGGGAGGTAAGCATCTAGAGAAATAAACATCCAGGGAAGTAAGCATCTAGAGAAGTAAACATCCAGGGAAGTAAACATCCAGGGAAGTAAGCATCTAGAGAAATAAACATCCAGGGAAGTAAGCATCTAGAGAAGTAAACATCCAGGGAAGTAAACATCCAGGGAGGTAAGCATCTAGAGAAATAAACATCCAGGGAAGTAAGCATCTAGAGAAGTAAGCATCCAGGGAGGTAAGCATCTAGAGAAGTAAACATCCAGGGAGGTAAGCATCTAGAGAAGTAAACATCCAGGGAAGTAAGCATCTAGGGAAGTAAGCATCTAGAGAAGTAAACATCCAGGGAAGTAAACATCCAGGGAAGTAAGCATCTAGAGAAGTAAACATCCAGGGAAGTAAACATCCAGGGAAGTAAGCATCTAGAGAAGTAAACATCCAGGGAAGTAAGCATCCAGGGAAGTAAACATCCAGGGAAGTAAATATCCAGGGAAGTAAACATCCAGGGAAGTAAACATCCAGGGAAGTAAACATCCAGGGAAGTAAACATCCAGGGAAGTAAGCATCTAGAGAAGTAAACATCCAGGGAAGTAAACATCCAGGGAAGTAAACATCCAGGGAAGTAAACATCCGGGGAAGTAAACATCCAGGGAAGTAAACATCCAGGGAAGTAAGCATCTGGGGAAGTAAGCATCTGGGGAAGTAAACATCCAGGGAAGTAAACATCCAGGGAAGTAAACATCCAGGGAAGTAAACATCCAGGGAAGTAAACATCCAGGGAAGTAAGCATCTGGGGAAGTAAACATCCAGGGAAGTAAACATCCAGGGAAGTAAACATCCAGGGAAGTAAGCATCTGGGGAAGTAAACATCCAGGTAAGTAAACATCCAGGGAAGTAAACATCCAGGGAAGTAAACATCCAGGGAAGTAAGCATCTGGGGAAGTAAACATCCAGGGAAGTAAGCATCTAGGGAAGTAAACATCCAGGGAAGTAAGCATCTAGAGAAGTAAACATCCAGGGAAGTAAGCATCTAGGGAAGTAAACATCCAGGGAAGTAAACATCCAGGGAAGTAAACATCCAGGGAAGTAAACATCCAGGGAAGTAAGCATCTAGGGAAGTAAGCATTCAGGGACGTAAGCATCTAGGGAAGTAAACATCCAGGGAAGTAAGCATCTAGGGAAGTAAACATCCAGGGAAGTAAGCATCTAGAGAAGTAAACATCCAGGGAAGTAAGCATCTAGGGAAGTAAACATCCAGGGAAGTAAACATCCAGGGAAGTAAACATCCAGGGAAGTAAACATCCATGGAAGTAAGCATCTAGGGAAGTAAGCATTCAGGGACGTAAGCATCTAGGGAAGTAAACATCCAGGGAAGTAAGCATCTAGGGAAGTAAACATCCAGGGAAGTAAGCATCTAGGGAAGTAAACATCCAGGGAAGTAAACATCCAGGGAAGTAAACACCCAGGGAGGTAAAGCATATAGGGAAGTAAGCATCCATGGAAGTAAGCATCCATGGAAGTAAGCATCCATGGAAGTAAGCATCCATGGAAGTAAGCATCCATGGAAGTAAGCATCCATGGAAGTAAGCATCCATGGAAGTAAGCATCCATGGAAGTAAGCATCCATGGAAGTAAGCATCCATGGAAGTAAGCATCCAGGGAAGTAAGCATCCATGGAAGTAAGCATCCATGGAAGTAAGCATCCACGGAGGTAAGCATCTAGGGAAGTAAGCATCTGGGGAAGTAAACAACTGGGGAAGTAAGCATCCAGGGAAGTAAGCATCCATGGAAGTAAGCATCCATGGAAGTAAGCATCCATGGAAGTAAGCATCCATGGAAGTAAGCATCCATGGAAGTAAGCATCCACGGAGGTAAGCATCTGGGGAAGTAAACAACTGGGGAAGTAAGCATCCAGGGAAGTAAGCATCCAGGGAAGTAAGCATCCAGGGAAGTAAGCATCTAGGGAATTAAGCATCCAGGGAGGTAAGCATCCCGGGAAGTAAGCATCTAGGGAATTAAGCATCCAGGGAGGTAAGCATCCCGGGAAGCAAGCATCTAGCAAAGAAAGCATCTAGCAAAGAAAGCATCTAGCAAATTAAACATCCAAGGAAGTAAACATCCAGCAAAGTAAGTATATGGATAAAAATGCATCCAAGGAAGTAAAATCTGTCGGCTATAAAGATAAAAAAGAGTAAAGGCGTCAGGACCGGGCCTTGGAGTGCTGTACTTTCCACTTTGCTAATGCTGAATTTTTCTCTGTTAACTACTGCGTTTATGTTCTGACAGAAATAAACATACCTTTGCCTACTTTCCCAGTTATATCTATGACTCACATTTTGTGTACAATCACTCCATGATAGGATTTCTCAAATGCCTTTGTGAAATCCGTGCACACCATGTCTGTCTTCGTAATTTTTCATAGTGATTAGGGCTACTCGATTAATTTCTGATTAGTGCTCTACTGCCTTCTTGATGTAGAGAATTTCACTAACACTTAGTACTCTTTGCCAAAGAGTACTGAGTGTTAGTGGTATTCTGCATTAGTTTATAATAACGAGCCACATGAACAGGGTCCAGGTGCTGTGAAGGTATTACCTGGAGAGAGTTCCGGGGGTCAACGCCCCCGCGGCCCGGTCCGTGACCAGGCCTCCTGGCGGATCAGAGCCTGATCAACCAGGCTGCCGCCGCTGGCTGCACGCAAACCAACGCACGAGCCACAGCCCGGCTGGTCAGGAACCGACTTTAGGTACAGGTGCTGTGAAGGTATGTTATGAATCAGGTCCAGGTGCTGTGAGGGTATGTTATGAATCAGGTCCAGGTGCTGTGAAGGTATGTTATGAATCAGGTCCAGGTGTTGTGAGAGTATGTTATGAATCAGGTCCAGGTGCTGTGAAGGTATGTTATGAATCAGGTCCAGGTGCTGTGAAGGTATGTTATGAATCAGGTCCAGGTGCTGTGAAGGTATGTTATGAATCAGGTCCAGGTGCTGTGAAGGTATGTTATGAATCAGATCCAGGTGCTGTGAAGGTATGTTATGAATCAGATCCAGGTGCTGTGAAGGTATGTTATGAATCAGGTCCAGGTGCTGTGAGGGTATGTTATGAATCAGATCCAGGTGTTGTGAGAGTATGTTATGAATCAGGTCCAGGTGCTGTGAAGGTATGTTATGAATCAGGTCCAGGTGCTGTGAAGGTATGTTATGAATCAGGTCCAGGTGCTGTGAAGGTATGTTATGAATCAGGTCCAGGTGCTGTGAAGGTATGTTATGAATCAGGTCCAGGTGCTGTGAAGGTATGTTATGAATCAGGTCCAGGTGCTGTGAGGGTATGTTATGAATCAGGTCCAGGTGCTGTGAGAGTATGTTATGAATCAGGTCCAGGTGCTGTGAAGGTATGTTATGAATCAGGTCCAGGTGCTGTGAAGGTATGTTATGAATCAGGTCCAGGTGCTGTGAGGGTATGTTATGAATCAGGTCCAGGTGCTGTGAAGGTATGTTATGAATCAGGTCCAGGTGCTGTGAGGGTATGTTATGAATCAGGTCCAGGTGCTGTGAAGGTATGTTTCAGAGATGGGACACAGCAACAAAGGGAAGTTGAAGACTCAGATGAGTTACAGGGATGTTTGGAAGTATTCAGCCATAGAGCTGTCAGGACGTGGAAAAACCTGGAGAGTGATGCAGTTTAAGCAGGATCCATACATAGTTTTAAGAAGAGATACGATAAAGGACATGGAACAGGGAGAGAATGGACCTAGTAGCTACCAGCAAAGAGGCGGGGCCAGGAGCTGTGACTCGACCCCTGCAATAACAAATAGGTGAGTACACACACACACACACACACACACACGCAGGCGGGGCCAGGAGCTATGACTCGACCCATGCAGCCACAAATAAGTGAGTACAGTTTGGTGAGTACACACAGACACTCCCCCCCACACACTCCTCCCCCACACACAATGACATACGAACCTTTTGACGTATACTGACTACTGCACTCAGTTCATACGTATTGAGAGAGGTCAGCAGTTTATCAGGTATGAAACCTATCAAACCTACGAGGATCATAAATGCTTCATGTTGCTTGTATTACAAGTCAGTGAAATTTTTAATCCTTATGGTACATCATGGTACATATACCTTTCATCGAAATGGATACCTCTCAGTATTTACGCAAATTATCAGGCATGGTTTATGAGGGTTGACAGTATTCTTAGACACTCAA